TGCCGCCCTAACGGCCGGGACGCCAGGCCCTTGCCGCGCTCTCGGAATAGGGACCCGGGAGGCGGCAGATTTGGGGCATTGCTCGAGGGCAGTGAGTCATGAAAGCGGCTTTTGTTGTCCGCGCGTGCGGTTCGCGTGCCGCTCGGCAGCCTGCAGCGCCCAGTGGGAACGGGAACTGGGGGAGTACAGTTAGCCCACGGAAAGGAGAGAGGGGGAGAATTTAGGGAATCAGGAGGGGGAGAAGTGTGCAACCGTCCAAACAAGTCCAGAGGAAGGAAAATAAAGAGATGGGGAGGGACCGCCGCGACAGTCGTCAGCCCTGAGCTCCGCCGCGCCCCCGCCCGGTCCTCTCCAGGTGCCCAGAGTGCCTCTTCCTCTCGCCGGATTTGCTCGTGCTCCCTCCCGAAAACAAAACCCTTTTCAATCCAGTGTGCGTTTGGGCTTCTCCCTTCCTGGCCTTGTAGGCAGGCCACCGCCTCCGCAAAGGCCTGCGGTAGAGCGTCTCCGCGGCGATATTCCGGGTCGACTTTACCCGCACGAAGGCTGGTCCAGATCTTAGCCATGGGCCGGCAAGGTCAGGGAAAGCCACGGTGCGATCCATCCTCACCCAGGTTTCTGGGACATCCCCAAAGGCCTTTCATTTGTACAAATCCCCAAGCCTGAGTGAACGACGCCTAGTGGGATTAGAGGTGAATTTATCAGAGGGGGAAGAGAAAGAAACAGGTTTAATAATTCCAGCAGTTTATGCATTTGAGTGTCGTCTGGCGAAACATCCGGGCTACCTCCTTGCCCAGGAACATCTGTTGTCACAAAGATTCTTTCCTATTCCAAGGGATGTCGCAAACTGGGGGAGTTTCCGTTTCCCAGGGGTGGGGCCTCAGCAGAGGGACATCTAGGCCACTCCCAAACCTTGGAGACTGCTAGAGCTTTCTCTCCCACCTACACCCCACAACACCTTCTCAAGAGCTCCCTCAAAAATGGAGAAACGAAGGCCTGAGCAGGTTCCAGATTCCTGTGGCACCGTGTGTTAGCCAATCTGGGCAGCTGCTGGGAAAAGTTGGAGCATTTTACTTGGTCCTGTGGCTTAAGTTCTCAGACCTCCGAGTTATTGTGGACCAGACTCTGCATGCTAGTTCCATAACGCCCTGGAGTTTTACCCAGCGCTGAAGACTCAGAGAGTAACGTGGGTCAATATTGAGACTAGGCTTCTGAATGAATTATTTTGTACTCTGTGCCCTTTGTCAGCCAACAAGTGAACACAGGAAACCAAGAGTCCACACAGTTTTGCTCCAGAACCTCTGAACTATTCATACCACATGCCTGGCCAGAATCAGGTGGCACAAACACATTCCTCCTCTTTGGTTTTGTGCTGGACCAGGAAGGCTGCAGGCACTGCTTTTACGACACTTACCATCTCATAAAGACCCTCTTTCCCCATCTCCAAGACCTCCCAGATGCACCCCACTCCAGCCGCTCAACCCTGACATTGTTTGCAAACTCGAGTGACATTTGGGGGCAATTGCCTTTAAATAAACAATTCAAGAAGGATGCATTCATTGCAAAGAGCTTCAGGTCTGGGAGCTGGTGAAGGGTTAGTTAATGGAGGATTAGACATGAAGCTGAGGGAAAAAGAGTGGAAAAGGAAAAGACCAGGGCAGATTTTTAAAAATGCGTCATTCTGGGATAATGCCTTGTTCAGAAAGAATAAGTAAAGAATCAAACTTAAGCACAAACACAACTCCTTGAGCACTAGGGAACATGCAATTTGTTTGACTTACAAAGTGAAGTCAGGGTCAAATCAGAGGCATTGAGGCCTGTAGTGGCCTGGGACCTCAATCCTTTTCCAGAGCTGTGCCAATGGTTTTTCTAGAAAGAGAGAGAAATTCCTGTTCAACGCTGGCCTTTCACATTTTCTCTTTGAGAAGGCTTGAAGACCTGAGACTGGGAACTAAGAACACAGTATGGGCTGTAGCAAGGTATTAGTCACTAAGCCCATGGTGGGGTCTGGGCTAGAGGGTGGAAGCCACAGGGGATGCACTGGCCAAGGAGCCAGAGGCGTCCTGGGAGTGGCTGGGTGAAGGCATTTTTGCAGCAATCCAGTGGCATTGGTTAAAAGGCAGAAATCAAGCATCAGTCTCAGTGCTCGCTACTACACACAGTGGCGGGTTGGCCAATGGAACCAAGACCTATGCACACTATTATATAATAGCTTGGTTTGAGGACAAGATTCTGGGGAAGGGGTGAAGACTGAGAGAGAAGGGGTCTCCAGGACAGAGGTAGCTGAGGGTTAGGTCATGCCGAGTTGCGTGTTTTGTGGGGGTAATAGAGTGGCAAGTGCAGTATTTCTCTACTGCTGGGGCTGGGAGCTTGTCACCCAGCTAGAGAAGCTAGCAAACCAGTCACCAAGCTACGTGTACCTATGAAGTCATTTTTGGGTATGGATTTATGTTTGCTTAGAGGGGCTAACGGGGATTAGGAGAACCCACACTTCGGTCCCAATAAACAAAGCTTCTGCCAAGGGAGAAGCCAAGTGATGGGCTTCTCAGAGAGGGCAGAGAGTCATGCTTGCCCCTGAGACTAGCGCCAGGGCAAGGAATCGAAAAGAACAAGGACTCTTGACCGCCAGCCTCAGTCTTCCGGCTCCTGCTTCTTTCACCTCTGCTCTATTTCCCGCGCGAACGCCGGCCACTCGCTCTGACCAGGACCCAATCTCGTCAGCTTTCCCGCTTTCTTCCCTCAGATTCCCTACCCCCTCTGTCTTCTGCTGTGTGAAAGGGTTAATCTCTCCTGCGGGTAAAAACAGGTCCGCGGAGTCTCTAACTGGCGACAGATGGGCCACTTTCTTCTGGCCACAAAGGGGCCGGAATGGAGCGCTCCGCGGCATACAAATGGGCAGGTCACGTGGTTCCCTGCTCTTGGCTGGACGGGGAAGACCATATGGCGCATGCCGGGGAGGTAGAAGAAGGGGTGGGGGTAGGGGTGGGGGGGTGAAGGGAGGCTGAGGGGGAGGGGGACCTGGAGCGTGCAGCCTGGATGCGCGCGCAGGCGCGGGGCGTCGGGACCTGCTTACCGCTCGGCTCCGGCCCCGCCCGCTCGGAGCATCCCTAACTGGGCTATATAACCTGAGCGCCCGCACCGCCGGGACACGAGGAATTCGCCCACGCAGAAGGCACGGCATCCCGACGCCGCAGGGTTATGAGACCATCACTGCTCAGGACCTACTAACAACAGGTAATTACAATCCATTCATTTGTTTTAGCTCTAGAATAAAAGCACTCAGTGAAGACCTGCGTACATACATGCATGTTCTGTGTGTGCGCGTTTGCGAACGTGTGTGTGTGCCAGACCAGCCTCTCTCCCCTTAATCGCCCACAACTACTCACGAGAACGACTCTCTCGCTTAAGTAACTCCTGCAGCTTTTCTCATTTTACCATTTTTCAATGTTTAGAATTTTTTTTTTTTTTGGTCCTTTTTTTTGGCTAACTTAGG